TTATAGCCTACGCCATCTTTATGTAGAGCAACAATTCTTTTTTTCAGATCCTCAGAGAAACGTGAGAAAAGATTTCTATTTTAAATAAATGCTCTTCTTTTTAACTTTTTATTCATCAAAGAATCCTGAAAAAAGTATTGCAGTTTCCAAAAAAATATTTGGCAGCACAACTGTTGACAACATTGATAATTCTAATAATAAATCAGCATATTAGAATGATTTCTTAAGAAACACGAGACACTTTATACTGGAGTAACGGCTGATGGAAATTCAGCTTTGCATCACAGAAATAAATTATATTTTAAAGGATATTAAAATAGAAACCATTATTTTATATTGTATTAACATTTTGCAAGATTTCTGTTTTTTTTTCTGTATTTTTGATCAAATAAATGCAGCTTTGATGAGCATAAGAGACTTACTGATCCCAACTTTTGACCGGTAGTGTATATATATATATATATATGTGTGTGTGTGTGTGTGTTTTGATGTTCTGGGTTTGTCATTTGTTTATGAATTTAAGCCTGTTTGATAGTTGCATTATAGCTGTATAGTATACAATTATCTTTGCAAATTTAAAAATAAGATTTAATGTTTAGCTTCTACCAGACAAATTGGTTGGCTAAAAAAAATGATTTTTTTTTTTTCATTTTTGCTTTGGGGTCAGTGAAAATGTTGCTAGGGCAAGGAAATATTATTGGCCTGACCGGGTCAGCAGAATAAATATAATCCTTGTTGTTATGCTCATAAGAGCACTGGCTAAAAAGATATTGTATCCGCAGCTTGACTCATATCATTGGAAAATGATAAAAACATAAATCTTCTGAATATCTCCCTCTTTTTTTGGACAGAGAAAAGAGTGCATGTCAGAGTTTCCATGGGCCATTGAAATGCACAAGTTAAAGGAACCACAATCCTCTTCGACAGCAGAGGCAGTTATAGCAAGCCTCTCAGTCATCTCAGTTATTTTGTTCAAGCTGCCCAGGGATTGCAGAATATTAAACTGGGTACATTGAGTGACATAAAACGGCACAAATCATCTCTCTTATCGCAGCCGCTTTATTTCTTAGTCATTCGGGACATCTGCTGAAAAGAGCGCCAACGTCACGCTACATATAATCCCCAATGTACTCTCGGTAAGCCCTGCTCATGATGTGTTTGTTATACATATTTAATTTTATTTCAATAAATTGTCACCCCAAGGATATGCTTGAATCGGTTTCCCATACACAGAGCAGCATAAAGCAGGGCAGACTGTTCTTTCATTTCGCTCAAGCTGACTGATAAATAACAAACATTTTTTATATGCTGTCCATCGAGCATGTCTGCTGTTTTATCACCTGGTCCGATTGCCAAAGTAACCTCTTTTCTTTCCTACTCTCATTCCTCCACTCACATAATCTCCCTCGCTGTCCTCCTACACACGTTGTTTCCTCTTTGGATATTTCATGGGGATTTCTCCAGGGAAAATTATTCTTTGCTACATGCCAATTTTGGGTTCTCAATGTTATTTTGAGGAAGAATGTTATCTTTGTGATTAAGTCATAAAGCTGTGTAATTCTGGATAGGTTTCTGAGTTGGACTACATTTAAAGGGATAGTTCAGTCAAAATGAGCATTTTGTCATTATTTACTCATCCTCGTGTTGTTCCAAACCTATTATTATGTAACGCAAAATTATTAAACAGTCTTTAGAGAAACAGAACAGAATGTAAGTATAATCTTGCCCTAGTGAGCTGTTGACTTAAGAACTACTTCAGAAGAATCGGATGAGTGCATGAATCATTATTTTGAGTTGGTTCTTTTCAGTTATCCTGCTGTCATATAGAACTGATTTAACAGTTTGTTCAGCCCACTTACTTACACTTAATGATTCAATAACAGTATTGATAAAAACCCTATGTCATTCCAAACCTGTTTGAATTTCTTCTGTGGAAGAAGATATTTTGAAGAATGTTGGTAACCAAATTGTTTTGGTAGCCATTTGACTTCCATTGTCTTTTTGTTCGAAGACTTCTTACGGACCACTTTTATGCTTGTTTGCTGCTTTTTTTTTTTTGGTCTTTTTTTAGCTTAACAGCCATGGTCCCTATGAACCGTTGTTGTATGGAAATGATCTGCGATTCTGTGTGAACAATTTCTTTCGTCGTCATCTACTAATAATTATGACTCCTGCTCCTTTTTGAGTGTCTTTAGAATATTTAGCTTCCTGCGTAGAACTAATAACCAGACTATTCCTTGTTATTTTTGCCTGTACTGTTGCATTCTGTTAGCTCTTGTTCTTTCTGTAACGTCCTAAAAACCATTGAACCTTGATGAAGGCCCTCTTCCCCTTATAGGAAGTGATCATGTGACGCAGCATGTGCAGGATTGTGATCATTGCCTGACTGCTTTATGAAGCCGAGCTGTTTCCTGAGATGTCGTAGGTAATGTTTGTCACGTTCAATATCATGCAGAAATGTCCTCTGGCCAGAGAGTTAAAGAAAATAAATGCTCTGGGCAGCGAAGACATGAATTGATTTGAAATATTTATAAAAATCGATAAGAACACACTTCAGCGCTTAACTTGTCTTCTTATCTCCCCTGTGTCCGTTCACTTCCACTAGTTCCACTCTGCCTCTAAATAACTCTCAGAAACAGCACTGCACCTCATTGGTTATTATATCATTCAAGTGCAAGTTACAAATAATATGGTTTGATTACTGATGGACAGGCCCACACGGCATCGCTGCCTGCAGAAACCTGCAGAATTTGAACATGTGTCATTCACAAGGTTATGTCATTATGTTTTGGCTAATTTCATTATGCATTCAGCTACCAATAAAAGTACATTCAACTCCATTTAACACGTTTTTCCATGTTTAAATCCAGATTTTCACCCAAAATCAGCATAGAAAATTTGAAAATTTTGTCTTGGTCTTTTTCTTGGATTGTAATGAATCAGTATGCTTTTAAATTAAGTAAACGTAAACTGTTTTGGTGTCTTGCACCGTGTGGAAAATGAAGTGGTCACAATGGAGTCTTTTGACTCAGCCTGTTTCCATGTTTTTCATAATATCAGCATTTATTCTTTCCCGGCTGCTGCCTGTACCTATGCTGACAGGTCTCCAACCTTGCATTAGTGTGGAAATGAGTCAAATCCTTAATGCCTTGTTTTTCTAGCATTTTCCCCCTTCTCTCTCACCCTCTTAAGACAGGAAAGGGTTACTTTCCATGTTTCCTGTCCAATTCCCCCAGCTCCAGCTCCTTTCGGATCACTTTCTTCATACTAAACATTCCCAGGCTCCCATAACCTCCTGGCTTCCTTACACTGGCCAAGAGAGATCCCAGGTGAGAGTGTGGGCGAACCTCCTGTTTTTAAGGATAAAAATCTCTGCGTTTTGCCTCCTGACAACGGTGGTGGTGAAACGTGGTTTCTTTTTCAGCTTTCCTTGATCGCAGGCATGGGAAAACCGTTATTTGAGAAATCTATACCAGTCATTTGGCTCAGAGTAAAACTTCAAGCAATAATTTAGAACCAGACTATCATGAGGCAGTTCTGCAATTTGTCCACCTCATAAGGAGGAAGAAGAATTTAAAGGCTTGTCATTGGATTTTGGAGCTGTCACTCATGTTACCATAACAAGAGATGAAAGGCTCTGATACAGCAGAGGTGGCCTGTGATCAATCTTAGCGATAAAGATGGTTTAGCGCAACATAGTCACATGATACTTGATACATCCTGTTGAAGATTCACTTTGAACGTTTAGAGGAGAAAAAAAGAAATAAGACATATCTGCTAGTTCATATTTATTTCTTAAATTACTCGCTCTTTCCCAACAGTAAAACCTTTGTAGGATCAGAAAATAATCTTATCAGCATGTTTTAATTGCACACTTCCAATAAAAGACACATAGTATGATTCGTGTTTTATAATCCTGATGTTCATCTCTCCTCTTTGTCCCGTTCACTATCTTTTCCCACGGATTCTCTTCCAACTCTTTTTCTCTCTGAGCACCTGACAGATGGATGGGGAGAGAGAGATAGAGAGTGGGAGAGAGCTTTGGATGTGCGGTCACCCCCGCTTTGTCCAAAAAAATGCCAGTCTTTGTAAATGGAAACATGGGGCCGTACGGAACAAACAGCAATGTTATTTGGGCCTGACCCAGTGATGGACCTGCTGAGACAGTCTAAATATAGTCCTGTGGTGTACTGACTAATTGCCCCATGAGCAGTAATCATTCCCAGCCTCTGAAACCTCTTAAACTGCAAAGAGAGTCAAGTCATTGCTGCCCCCCTGCTGTGCCGGAGCCAAATACCAGAACGAGCTAAACTGAGCGAGCAGATCCGTACAGAGATTAACCGGAAGCTTCTTTATGTTTTCAGGTGCCTGCCTGCACAGGTGGAGTTCATCTCAACAGGATATGATCAGGATTGTGTATTTTTCTAATGTTGCATTACATTTGAACTTCAGCGAATACCCTTGCGTAATAAATAAAACAGAGCAACCAAATTTTAAAGAGCATTTTGACCAAGGCAATCCTTTTTGGAACTTTTAGTCTCTCCCTAAGATTATTAGTGATGGGAAACATAAGAACTTTTTTGGTTCAGATTCCTTAAAGACTGTGTTAACAACACCATTAATGTTTCTTTGATAAATGCTTTTGAGGAAGAACCACTTTTTTGGTAAAAATCTAGTAGTTTTTTAGTATTCGTTTATAATATGCTATAATAAAATTAGATTATTGTTTATAATTATACATTATAAACAAACAAATACTAACTTTTTGAGGAGGAAATCTAATAGTATCCTTTGTTTAGTTTAATAATAGTAAAGTGTATATATATTAAAGTGTGTTTATTAGGCTCTTATTTTGGGACTTTTTAAATCTGTTCTCACCCACCCAGAAATGGAAACAAAGCTAATTTTGCTTTGGGGGCGCACGGGTATTGCAGGGGGGCGCGGGCCATCAGCGGAAAAATAAAATAAATAAAACAATAGACAGCCAACGGATGTAACTTAGAATTCACTGCCTATGCCTATGCCTTAAAAGCATTGCCTTCGATCGCGATCGACCTATTGGGCACCCCTGCTCTATGTTAATGTTACTTTTTCAATGTTTCACTGCAGGTTTTTTTTTTAATTAAAAAAGCATTGATTTTTCATAATGTTTAGTGAAATTATTTGTTAGTCTGAGGTGGGATGGGGATTCAATGTATTGTTGGCTATTGCTACTGATATACCCGTGCTACTTATGACTTATGGTTTTGGGGTCCAGGGTCACAAATGTTATATTATGTTGGCGCCAATATCCTTGTGGGCAGCACGCTGACATGTAACACCGTTGCACTTCAGGTGTCCCGAGTTTGAGTCCCAGTCTCTTTCCCAATCTCTCCCCCCTCTCTCTCCCACTTTGCTTCCTATCCACTTACTGTCCTATCGAAAGTAAAGGCATAAAACGCCAAAAATAAAATCTTTTTTTTTTTTGTTAAGTTAAAATTACAACGCTGCAGATGATAACCGATTTTGGAAAAATTGCGATCTGATCTAGATTGTGATAACAGTCCGACATGTCACAGAAACGGGAAACAGATTTTAGTGCTTTCTGACAATCTGCATAATGAACTCCTTTTGTTCTTCAGTCTTTGAGAGGAGTCAGTTGTACTCTTGGATACACCTCTTGCATTGTTTGCCCAGGTACCCCCCAATAAGGGCCACCCTAGTGTTTATATTTATTTGTTTACTTATATTTATTTATTTATTTACTCTGTTCTGAATGAGAATGAATTCTTGGTTTCCCAACCTTATAGATTCTTGTGTAAATCAGTAGCACACTGTAAAAAGATTTCCCAGACTGCCAGCGTTAAAGTGCGGTGGCTGTCTTGCTCTTTGTGCAATCAGTAGAAAGCACTCCTGCCAAGTAACATGAGATACTATGTATGCTACCTGCTTCCGAGCAGAGCTACACAAACCTGTGACCAAAGCTTTACCTGCGGTCTCACATAGGAAGTGGCCGCCACCCACCAGATATCCTCCTAACTCCCACGGCTAAATAAAGCCATAGTGTAGAGCAGCTGATAGCGAGAGATGTTCGCCCTCTGCTGCTTCAGCATGTGTGATTATGACACTGCTGCTCGATCTGAGTGCGACACAAAGACCGAGTCTCTTCCTCTCTCATTCACGCTTACATTCTGCATTGTAGTTGGAAACTTCCTGTCCTTTTACATACTGTGAGTAAGAGCATATGCCCTCTGTAGAGTCAATGCTGGTTTTATGATAAACAAAAAAGCAGCCACAGGATTAAGTCATGAGACAGTTTCCTTCCTAATGCTCATTTAAATTTAGACATTATGTCCTTAAAAGGACAAGAATGAGGTCTATCTTGAGAACAGTGAATTTTACCTCTCCAGATAGCAGGCTGAGCTCACAGGGTCTCTTAATTCACCTCACAAAGCTTGACTATATTATTAGCCTTACCCAGAATTGTTTTCCTAAACTACTAAGGCTTTAAAAAATACAGCCAAATTAAAACTAAATTATGATGCATAGTTTAGGAAAATCAAAACGTAGTCTACTACGACAAATAATAATTTCATAGAGTCAAATTGGCTTCACACTCACTGACTCTCTCATACCCACTCTAGCTGCTTTCAGCACATTCAGGAAGTTGCAGTAAATCACCGTGACAAAACAAGGAAACGTGTACGAAAGCGGAAGTCATGAGTCAGCATTAGTCCTCAGACTGCTGTGTCCCACCAGCTCTTTTACAGAGGATGTGATTATCATTACATGGAGCTTTCGGTTTCTCATTCACATGGGGACAAATGCTGTTTTTTGTTGATCTGCTCACTGGTCAATGGGCTTCGAGCTAGCTAATAACAATATATAGAGGCATATGAAGGTGAGGACCTTGAGGAGGAAAAGTTTAGTTGTTTACTGTGCCCGAGTCACATTAATATAGAATTGAGTTGATATGTGGTCACAGGTGTGTGTGTGTGTGTGTGTGTATATAGACTATTTAAAGAAATAGTTCGCCCAAAAATGAAAATTCTGTCATTGATTAGTCACCCTCATGTCGTTCCAAACCTGTAAGACCTTCGTTCATCTTCGGAACACAAATTAAGATATTTTTGATGAAATCTGAGAGCTTTCTGACCCATAGACAGCAACGCAACTACCACGTTCAAGACCCAGAAACTAAGGACATTGATAAAATAGTCCATGTGACATCAGTCGTTCAACTGTAATTTTATAGAGCTTTGTTCACTGCAAATGAACAAATTTGGGGTCGATAAGATTATGAAAAAAAAATATTTTTGAAAGAAGTCTCTTCTTCTGCTCACCAAGGTTGAAATTATTTCATCAAAATACAGTAAACAACAGTAATATTGTGAAATATTTTTACAATTTAAAATATCTCCGCTAACATGAGATAAAATTTTATGTAAATATATATATACGAGATAAAATCGTTTAACTGCCGGACCAGAGGAGCACTGAAAGCACGTCATGCTGTGGAAACCACCGCTGCTCAGTAACTACTGTAGACAGGCAGAACATGACATAGTTTCATAGTTGCAGTCATATGAGGGGTTTGCCCAGGAACTGTACGTGGACAAACAAACTAATTTATACTGGAAACCCCCCCCCCCCCCCCCCC